AGTCTTTTGACCGGCGTGCCATGGTGGCTTCTGCTTGCCCTGTGTGATGTTCGCAACAGATGATTCGAAGCTTGGGCAGCTTTACCGCAGTCCTCTCGAGAATATAACCCGACTCAAGACTGCATGAAATCGTCCTGCTGAACGAAACATCCATAAAAATGCCTTGGCAAAGTTCAGTCTTTTTAAATCAAAAATGCATAGCAGTGACATTATCCAGCAGTTTATGCAGGAAACTCCGTCGGATACGTATTACTGCACTAGCAATTGTGTGGAATGTTGGTTGATCAGTTGGCATGGGAACCACTCCTGGAGGCGATCGGTGTACGCCCCTGGCATACTCTATCTAGCAGAGCTGTGTTTCCAATATCTCACCAATTTTGAAGCCAATATGCCAACAATTCTGTTAGTAGATATTCCAATATATTCCAATTTTGCAGCTGATTGTCAAACAATCAGCTGATTTTGCAGCCTAATCTGATGTATTTTTGAGCCGAGCGAAAAGCCGCATAGGCGAAAAACGGGCCAATTTGGGGAAAGCCTTATGTACACAGGGTTCTAGCCAGGTAAAATAGGGGGTGGGCAGAGGAAGTAGTTACCCCGTCACCCATTTTCCTTTTTCCAAAGTTGTCTTGCCACCCAAATTGCAACGTACCCCGACTTCACCCCCGGTAAGTGTACCTTTATGAACCATCTGTTACCGACTATCGACTGCATTTTCCTTGAATGGCTGCTCCCCCCCCCCCTACCCCCTTTGTCTAGAACCCTGTGTACATGTAGTAATGACTCGTGTACTAGTATACTAGCTACATAGAGCTGTAATACTGTGCAATTCCCTTATAATGTGGGTCGGAGGTGTTTTTACTAAGGCCAAAAAAAATAGGCTTGTTTCGGGTCCGCAACCCATCCAAAAGGAGACTCAGTCGGCCGGAATGAAACTTTTTTGGATTCTATTTTTGGTTAATCAATCATTTTGTTATTGATGGACAAGAGTACCTACACATGTAAATACATGATTGTATACATGTATCATGGTAAGGATCAATGTCACCGCTAACTGACTGTTCTTGCACACCAGTATTCTTGTCGTCCTAGATCCTGAGAAATCAGGCAAAAGGTTCGAGTGCTTGCAGCTCTGTTATGCTAGCTCGTATCGACCCCGGAGTTTTCGAGCTGACGGCTGGGAATCTCTGCTACTTTGCAGGTATTTCGATTATTGAATTCGGTTGAGATTTGACTGAGTTATGACTTATTGAGTGCACTTGCACACATGGCATTGGCACCGTTCGTATACATTTGGGACCAAAAAATGTGACAGACTTTGGGAAAAATGGCACCACGATCTGGTGGTAGCGGCATAGCACAATAGAACGCACACAGCACACTACCTGACTACCATGACTACTACGTCAAGCCACAACTGACGACCGTTACGTGCCTACAACCGGTAATCACTACAATAATTATTATTATGTACATGCCATCAATTATATATTCACAGCCTACGGCACAACTTCCGATGAGAAATATATCACAATATGAAGAGAACATAGTTAGCAGGGAGGGTAATTGGGTGTAACTCCAGCCACACAACACAGGCATAAGTCACAGCAAAAGCAAGAGAGGATTTTTCTGCAATCATAGTCATGGCTGCACACCCACACGCACACATACGCACGCGCACGCTCGGGCGTGCGCAGACACACACGGCAATAAGGGAAATGGCCACATACGTAGTGTAGGATTACCACTCAACAATGGAGAAAGCGCATAATTCAACTTCAAAAGTTCAGTTGAGGACTGTTTTTCTTGGGTCAGACTCGTCGTGGAAATGACAATGCACTGAGCTACCAATAACTATGGAGTGTCGGGATTAAGTGGTGTATGGCTATGCTTACACACTGCCACTGTCCAAAGAAGGTGGTGGACATGCCTGTTGACGTGCCAGATGAGGGGAAACAGTCACCTTGCTGACCCTCAGGGCTGACCATAGCGCTTTCGTTGCTGCTGGTTCCCAATTGTCGGTTGCGATGCCGCGTAACAGCGTTATTCCGGCCCTGATTCTGCTGGTCGAGATCAGCCACACCGTTGCGCCAGTGTTGCATCTAGACCTGGATCCATTCCTGGATCTACGCTGCATCAATGCTGGTAGAGATCCACCAGCTCGATAAGTGCTTGATCTGCACAACACCAGCTGCATCCAACGGCAACAGCAACGGGCAGTACACAGCATTGATCACACTACAATCATGCCAAGCTGCAGCAATGCATAGCCAGCGCAAAAGCAGCCAAGCAAAAGGCCACACGCATTGAAGGCTGGCTCGGCTACTCGCGTGGCTCAGCAAGGCCATGAGCAGTGTATCGCAGGCGTTTCGGAGGTTGTACCCACAACTTGATTCAGCAGGAGTTGCAGGCAGCATTGCATGATCAGACTGGCAATATCAGGTGACTGTTCGTTGCTGACTCTCCTGCTCACTCCCACGGTACCGTTATAACTACAAGGTGGCTCATCCATACAGCTAGCAGTACTGTGCCGCGGTGCTCTTACGTCGTTGAATAATACTTATCCTAACCGTTCGAACCCTCGTCGGATTTTTCCCAGTGGCTGCCGTATTCTGAGCGTCATTATGTCTTTCTCCAACGAAACCACTATCTAGAAATTCAGCCTTGCACTTTTTTCTTCATTTCCATTGTGTTGAGGACATCGCAGAGCTCAGCAGTAACATCGAGCATTTCCCTAAGCTCATGCAAGCCTTGTGACGAGATCGTGAAAAGAAACAAACGGCACCTCATCCCTAAGCTGCACCTCTTAGAGATGCACGCCGTGCCAGCTATGGTTCGACTCCTTGTTGGCCTTGGCTTGCTAGGTGAGGAAGGCTCGGAGAGCATCCATGCGGACTCTCAACTCGGACTCTGGAGAAGCGTTTCTCGCAGATTCCTGCGCCCATTCCTGCGCCCATGAACGGATTAGTTTAACCCTAGAACTACCAGAGGCATCATATGATGCATTTGTGAATTTCAAAATGGGATTACTGTGATATGGGGGGTTAGAATCTCCCCAAATTTTGTGACTTTTATTTATTTTGTATTGTGTTAGTGGCAGTGGGCTGTATCCCCAAAATTTGAGTACAGTTCCGAAATGCCAGGGGTGCTACCTAGAACTGCCGCGCAGCATCGTATGACTCCACATACTACAGGCATCAATAAGAGGGCGAATTTGGCTCAGAACCACACGTGAATAGTGTAAAGAGTAATACGTTTAGGAGGAAGGAGATGGGACCATGAAGGTGGTAAATTGTACATATGGAAATGCTAATATGCATATTCCACATGTAGTTATGGTCAATATCGTAATCCTGAAACCTGTCGAAACACACAAATTTGTTCGCCCGAAATTTGGAAAGAGATCCGCTATATTATCATCTGCAGCATAGAACGATATGAACTGCCAGCGCAGTTATGATATTCTTGGAACTTCCTTTGAGTTTAGGTTGGTCTGGCGGAAGCCATGTTTGGCAGGCGTAGTGTCGCTGCCGATAAAGCATTTCAGGTGATTTTGAAAAATTTGTGGGCGGGAGTTTGAGGATGAATGCGAGGAGAGTGACTGGATCATTGTGGGCGAGGAATTAGAACTCTGCGTAAAATGTACGGTGTACAGTCAACTTTGCGTATAACGACACTTGGCGGGGCATCAGAAAAGTGTCATTATTCGCGAAGTGTCGTTATACCCGAAGTCTCATTATATGCATTACAGTTAGATGGGACTTTGCTCTGGGCATGGACATTTTGTCGTTATTCGCGAATTTGACTGTACTGCAAAAAGCCACGTATTTCAGAAGTGTGCACGGTTTTTGCCTCCTGTACTCTTTCATCATGCAGGCCGTACGATTTTTCCTTGTCAACAGCTGGCAGAACACTATAAAAACCGAAGATCAAAGTCATTATAGGTATCGAAAAGGGGCTCGCAAAGCACCTAAATAGCTCCACAAGCTATGAAAAAGAATGAAGCTCGCAATAAGAGCCCAGCATTTCATTTGCTTCTATTCCCATAAACACTACTTTGAAGTACGACATAGGTGTTTATTTTATACAGGTTGTCCCCCGTTAATACGAGTCCGGTTAGTACATTAACCCCGTTAGTACATAAGAAATCTCAAGTCCCGGATGAAACGTGGTCACTTCCATACAAATTTTGTCGGTTAGTACATAATTCGTTAGTACATAAACCCCGTTAGTACGTTGTATTTCTCGCGAAACATTTACAGTTGCAAATATGGCATCTGGTGTGTTCTTTATTGTCGTTTCTTTTCCTGACTTCTTCAGTCAGTTTGAGTCTCACCAGTGTCCCTGCCCTTGCCATGCCTACATGATGCCTAATCACCATTGGGGATATACACCCGTTTTTTTCCCCCACTACTGCGTCCGTCGGCGAGGGTTTTTACCGGCTGGCTCAGTCCAGGAAAATTAATCTGACGGTCCCAAGTGGTTCTGCATCATGTCTTTTTTCTGCTATCCGCTGGCACACATATTCTATCTGAGACACTCTGTTCTCAGTCCTTGCTTTCATACCTCACTCGTTATCTGGTTCACATCTGGCTGCGGCCAACTACCCTTCATTTGGTATGTTTTCGCTTTTGCTGTCTATGTCTCCGTGTGTACCAGTATATGTGGAGCAAGAAAGAACATTCCCTCTGTACCCGCATGTCACCTACCTCAATAGTACATAATTTGTTGTTGTTTTGGCCTTCCAGTGGAGGCACATAGTTTTCCAGTTTCTTTCTTGTGGACACTGAATTAGCTCAGAAATCAGAGCACACAATGCACAACAATGCACAACAACAAGGTTAGGATTGGTTGCTCTTGGAAAGTGAAAATAATGGCCAACAACTGCGCGCGCATGCGCATATGTGTAGAGATCATGACGCACCAGACAAGTCATAATAATATGACTATGAGCATAGCCATAACAGTACTCGTTTCTCCTATTTGTTCATTCTGTGATAGCTCCACTACCAGTGCACAGTCGGTGGACTAGATGGTCTGATTGGTCGGCCTGTTCTGGAAGCTGTGGTGTTGGATTTCATACGAGAACAAGATCATGTACACCACCAGCTCCGCTACATGGTGGACATAATTATTGTGTAGACACTCAAAGGAGACAACACAATGTTTGATAGCATCCTGTCCATCATGTAAGTTAGTGTTTTGCCAGTGTGCAGCCATTTCTAGATTGTCTAGAGCAGATACATTATTAAACATGCTCCAAGCTCAAGTAAGGAACAGAACATAGGCTCTTCTAGGTATAAAGATCAGGGTTGTCACGGTACGTGACTGTACAGAAAAATGTACATGAACATATGCACAAACACAGCCCCCCCCTCCCCCCCCCCCCCCCACACACACACACAGCAACACACACCAGTAATGTTAGGGAATCTTGAATTTTTTACAATCATGTGTTTCGGAGAAAGGAGTTTTAAGGGTGCGATAAAAGCAATTGATGCCGAAACACCATGGAACTAGTCACAGTTCGCGCGAGACTCGGCTGGAGGTTGAGTCCGCAGGAACGCCACCACCCTCTAGGATCAAGTCGCCGATGCAGCTCCCAGTCGGTGGGAGGTGAGTAGATCAGACCCACCACAAAGTGGTGAAGGACCGAAAGTCCCATTCACTGCATCCATGTTTCCCTCGTGCCAGGCCACAACCATGAAATGAAATATGTATAAAAATGATTCAAGATCATCCCTGGACAAGCCAATCAGCCAAACACCAGTAACATATTAGCCTATCCAATTTGGACCGGAACGATGCCTAGTGGTGCTCCGGTTCCCTGGGTTGACCCTGGTTCGGCAGGCGTGGAGAATGAGGTTCGTGGTATTGTATGTCCATCTTTATCCCGCCTCAATCTGTACGTCATCTTTGGAACAATGCGTGTGTTCAGTGTGAAAAAGGAGGTTCTACAGACCCTTAGTAAAAGTAACCTTACCTATTTCTTTCAATGCCGACAGTGCCTCCGCGCGAAGCGCGAAGGGCTGTGATGTAGGCTGATCGAACCGGAGTACGAGTGCATCCATGTTAAGGCCGCCAGGAGTTTGTGTTATACGCAGTACAGCTCACAAGTTTTTCACTTCAAAGGCAGCTCACAACACGTGCCACACATACTGATGGCGCTTTGGTCATTTTACCACCCCCAGGCCCGGGGACACCATCCACGGTCAGTTTCTGGAACGTGCCACCAGACGTGAAAGAAAGTGATTAATTTGAAAGTGTCGTCTAGCCTTTAAAATAGGACGAACTACACCCCTCTTGCGCGTCTGCGCCACACAACAAAAGGCCAAACTGTTTAGCTAAAGAGAGTAATCTGTTCTTGCTCTCAGGAGACGACTGGACAACTGACACCGAGACGAGACCAGGGAATATATGTAGGACTCAGTAAGCAGTCACGTCTCGATGACCGATCACGATCCCCGTGACCAATCAAACAGTCACAAATCCCCGAAGAGCAGTCATAAAGTCACACACCAGTTTGAATCCCGATGACCAGTCAGAAACAGCCGCGACTTCCTCTGTGAACGGTCACAGGATCCACGTCAAAATATTACGACTCAACTGTAGGCATTCACGCGTTCAGCATACTTTTTTCCTTCACAGGTTTCAGAAGTGAGCAAGAAAGATTTCGATCAACTCTCGATCTCCGCGTAGTTTACTTGTAGCTCGAGTCTGGTGTGTGTGGGCTCCTCTCCAAAACGAAGGGTGGTCGAAAATCTTGCAGGCTTCAGATAGAATCTCTTTTGAGAGGACGTTCTGGCTAGTAGGTTGTGCTATTCATCATATTTGAAGAACAAACTTCGTCGTTCAGAAAAGCTATTTCGGAATATTTTCAGTCATGTAATTTTTGCATGCCGATCTTGCTAGAGCAGAGACTGACTTCAACTGATCCAGCATGCAAGCAGCACTCGATTTGTGTTTTTGGAGAGGATGGGTGACAAGATTACGGAGTCAGAAGTGGACATCGTCGACGATGCAGAGACGAAAATATAATGAAGATGGAAATGAAAAATATGTTCATTTCCAAGAAGGTACTGAGTACATCAAGCACCTTCGTGTGTGTAGCTCTGTCTTTCTTGTGGAAGACTCCACAGAAAAACAATGTCCAGCTTGTTGAAACTGAAACTGCCTCTCAGTTGAAGTCGTTCAGGAAGACATCTATTCAAGACATCATTGATCCATTCTCAAGGACCATCGTAAGAAATTAAATCAAGTCATGTTTATCGATAAGAATGGCGAACTAGACCAGAGAAGTGTGAGTGTCTTGTTTTGACTGCAGGAAACTGTATTTCAATATTCTGGCTCAACGTAGTGCTTACGCAGTTTACTGCTTCGAACACATCTTCATTTCTACTCCCAAAATAACTCTGTAAAATTTTATTGATGCAACATTATGCATCATGGTCTTTCTCGTTGTGCTGCTATAACGTGTATAAGTACATGCATACGAGTACTGTGTACCGTTTACTGTCTCCTTGTCAGTGTTTTTGGGCGATCCTCCACACCTTCATTTGTCTTCCAATTATTAATTTTATAGAAATATTCACTCACTTCAACTTCTTTTGATTGCTGGTGCGAATGTAGCCTGCGATGCCTGCTTGTTAGTGAGAGTGCACCAGACATGTATCGATATGTATGTCTGACGAGATGTTCTTGAACTGGCATGCTGCTTTGCTTAGATAAGGTTTAGAATTGGGTGTTCAATGGCCTGGAGGAATTAATCATGTTTGCGATCAGTATCACCAAGAGTACGGTTCTTCCGTCTACGCATCTCTTCTTGGCTTGTGGATTGGTTGAAAAGAGATAAAATAATAATACAGAAGTACTTGTGTCCAAGTGTCGTCGTGAAAACAAGTTCTACCTCCGTAACTTTGTCCGCAAGGTCACGTGAATCTAGCTGGTAGTCCCGCTGCCTATTTGTGTGTGTGTGTGTGTGTGTGTGTGTGTGTGTGTGTGAGTAAGTGTGCGCGCGCATGTGTGAGTGTGTGTGTGTGTGCATGCGTGAGAAAGAGAGTGTGTGTGTGTGTGTGTGTGTGTGTGTGAGAGAGAGAGAGAGAGAATGTGTGTGTGTGTATGTGTGTTTGTGTGTGCGTGCATGGATGTGTGTGTGTGGATGTGTGTGTGTGGTTGTGTGTGTGTGGATGTGTGTATGTGTCTCAAACTCTCTCTTCTACTCCCCCTGTCTCGGGGGGGGGGGGGGGGGGCGGCGTGGCCAAGCATTTGGCAGCTGTACACCAGGCCAGGTGTGTGTGTGTGTGTGTGGATGTGTGTGTGTGTCTCAAACTCTCTCTCTTCTACTCTCCCCCTGTCTCGGGGGCGGCGTGGCTAAGCATTGGCAGCTGTACACCAGGCCAGGTGTGTGTGTGTGTGTGTGATGTAGAGAATGAATGACATATGTGCGTGTGTGGGAGAGAGAGAGAGATTTAGAGAATGAGTGTGTGTGTGTGTGTGTGTGCGCGTGTGAGTGTATGTGAGAAAAGGGAGAGAGTGTGGGTGTATGTGTGTGTGTAATGGTGTGGGCATGTGTGGTCCCCAGCTCTATTCCATGTCATTCACGCTGGAACTGCTGCTGCATAGCCCCAAGTCTGAAGACTTGGCAACTTCACGCCTGCACCTGACTCTTGCACTATGATACCCGTCGCCTATGATAACCCTCAGAATTTCCCACCTTGCTCCCTCTTATGTTCAGGCTGCCCGTTTAGGAGCCATCAGTTGCCTGACGATCGTAGTAATACGTGAAACTCAGAGTTGTGACAAAGCCTCCAATCTCTCTTGTAATACAGAAAAACCTATATTCTGCCTGTGACTACTCACAGAGAAAGAGTGGTCACAACTGTACATTCCGCATGTAACTGTTCGCATGGAATTATAGTGGTCACAACTGCATTCTGTGACCGCTCATAGGGAATTATAGTTTCCACAACACATCCTGCAGTACGAAGCACCCTGCGAGCAGTCACGAACTGTGTACTTTACACATGTACATGTATGGTGATTTGTGACTGGTCATGGGGCATTGTGACTGGTAAACTAATTTGTGACTGGTCATGGGGGGTTTGTGACTGTTTGACTGGTCACGGGGACCGTGATTGGTCACGGGGCCTTGACTGGTCACTGAGTCCTACATATAATTATCATGAAGGCATGAGGGAAAATTGCGGCGGTGGATGCGAAATAGGTGCCAGCTTGACGGCAAGTGAAGCCAAGACGGCAGACGACCAAATACAACGGGAGCAAGACAGCAAACGGCCAAATACAATGGGGGCAAGACGGAAAGTGTGTATATGGAGGGGACAAAAGACGGTGCAGCCGCATGTACAAAGCCGTCAAAGACAGCCCAGCAGCGTGTACCACGGTTCGGCAGCATGTGCGACAAAGAAACACAAACGCAGCAGCAGCAAAGAGACACAAGCGCAGCCGCATGTACAACAAAAGGTTTGGGAGAACTTCGAATTCAAAGGATGGTATGGTATGGTATTGATTTATTTGAATTCGGTATCTCAACAGTACATTGTACAACTTGGGAAGATCCGAATGATATAGATACATAAACATAAAAGTGGAGTAGGTGCTACAGCGGATCATTTTATCGCAGATTGTGGACTAAACTAATACCAGGATCAGTCGGGGGAGTGTCTGAAAAGAGAAAAAAATGCCAGACCCTCCATTGGAGTGAAAACCCTGTCAGCGCCTTCTAGGTTCAGCCTGGTCCATAGTTCAGATGGTGTTAGAGCATTGCTTATGACAAGAAAGGTCCCCGGTTCGAGTCTTGCTAACACATAATTTGTGCCCCACCGTTTAAAGGGGAAGTTAAGGCAAAAATTAAAATTTCACCAGTTGTAGTCTTCGGGGTGCTGAGTCGAATGGTCTTGGTCCGAGAAAGCTGAGACGCTCCCTTCCTACTTGAATCCCAATCGAACTCGCGCACTTCCACCGAAACTGGGTGACTGCGCCCTAGGAGATGGGGATTTGTATGCAAAATGTCACTAAAAGCGCCATCTCGTTCTTATAAAAGCACGGATGACCGCGATTGGCCCGTATGTTGTAGTCTTTTGGACGCTGAGTCGACTGGTTTTGGTCCGAAAAGGCTGCGATGCAGCGTTCTTCCTTTATTCCCAATCGAACATGGTTGAACAAGCGGTCACGTGCTCCTGGGTGCCAAAATCACCTGGTCACCACGCCAGCAGGCGACAACTTTCACACCAAGGTTCAACTCGAGTGACAGGACTGCACCCAAAAAAGGTCAAAACAGGCTGTAAGTTGTACCCTGCAGGCACGGTGACCAGGTGACTGGTGTACGCAGGAGCACGTAACCGCTTGTTCAACCATGTTCGATTGGGAATTAGGGGCGAACGCTGCATCGCAGCCTTTTCGGACCAAAACCAGTCGACTCAGCGTCCAAAAGACTACAACATATGGGCCAATCGCGGTCATCCGTGCTTTTATAAGAACGAAATGGCGCTTTTAGTGACATTTTGCATACAAATCCCCATCTCCTAGGGCGCAGTCACCCAGTTTCGGTGGAAGTGCGCGAGTTCGATTGGGATTCAAGTAGGAAGGGAGCGTCTCAGCTTTCTCGGACCAAGACCATTCGACTCAGCACCCCGAAGACTACAACTGGTGAAATTTTAATTTTTGCCTTAACTTCCCCTTTAAATACAGTAGGTATCGGTTATAGCGTGGGTGTTTGAAAAACGACTTTCTATTCTTATTTCCGATATTTCTTACACACGATAAATCAAGTGTGGCATATCACATGCATGTGCGCAGGGCCGGAAGATCATCTTACATGCAACGCAGTACTTCTGTGCATGTGGCTGGTCATAGTCCCATAGGCTTACCATGAGGCTACATGAGTTACATGATCACAACAGTTGAATCTGCAGCACTACGACGCAACGAGAGTCAGATCAGAACGGAATTGGACAGATGTTATTACTACAGGCGATACACTTTGTACTAATCTGGCATGTTTTGCTACACAAAGTCCATTCTTAGGACCGATATATTCTAATATGGGATAAAATTGCTTGTAAGAATAAATGTGCACTTGGAATCAATGTTATGATTATGAAAACATGAGAGTTCATTCTTGTAGGCAGTATATTCTTTTACACGACCACACTATAACCGATACGCACTGTATTTTAACAATCATTGAGGCAACAAGAAACGTAAAATTGCGATGAATAAAACTAATTTTCTGTCATTTCAATGTAAACTAAATAAAATATATTCTACTAGGATCCTAAATGAATATTTTCTCTGTACACTATATTTCAGTACCTACACCAGGAGGAAGTTGCCCAGCACAAGCTTGCTGGTTTCCAGGTGCACTGAAATGTTACATTCGGCAGGATTATTTACGTACGACATGGCCGGAAGCAGCAACACATTGCCGTCAACTGCTCCCGGGTGCCAGAATGTTATCAATCAACTCTCAAGAAGAGCAAGATGAAGTGGCCAGTCATGTTCTGAAGCATGGAAGTTGGGCCTGGTTCAATGCCACTGACATGCGCACTGAGGCAGTTTGGAGCCAAGGGTCTACTCCTTTGAAATATGCCCATTGGAATTTCATGACTAGTGAACCGAATGGAGGAAGAGAGGAAAATTGTGCTAGCATAGATGCGCGTCGTGGTGGATTTTGGTTAGATGCGACATGTGTATATACTCTACATGTGTTCTGTGAAAGAGGTAAGTACACATTCGTATCACAATGCAAATGCAAATGGTTAGGAGACCTTATTAATGCGATTAATAGTATAAGTGAAGCGGACATTACAAAATGATGAATGAGAATACATGTATCTAAAATGGTTGTTCCTAATCGATTTTCTTGAGACTATCATCAGGGAAAATCGTCTCACAATAGAGGCTATACGGAGAAACAAACTACTTATAGGTTATCGGATAGTGAGAAGTATACAAGGTGAGGTGTGAAAAAAAACTAAAGTGGGAGAGAAGACGAAAGAAATTAGAAGAAAAGATGTGAGAGTGTTCTGACGGTGTGAGCTACTACAAAAGGTGAGTGAAATGAAGGCGTGGAAGCAGGTGAATGTGATAGAGTGAGGAACTGTGAGGTGTAGGTGTATGCGAATGAATACGTGTGTGAATGCTAGGTGAAGAGTCTCAGTTTTGTGACATTTTCTTTCTAAATGCATAGATTAGGATTGTGTTTACGGATGAAAACAGCTTCTAATACCTTAAGTTCACGAAACCTATGAGCACGACACAAAACAGTGAGCAGTGATGAAGAGAGTGAGTTGGACAACCAAGATGAAGATGACCGGACTGAAGGTGAGACCACAACGAAAGGGTCAGCAATTAAGAAACACCTCTTGTCTAGTAGCCAATGCCGCTCAGTGTATGATGATTCATGCTTCACTGTTTTGTGTCGTGCTCGAAGGTTTCGTGAACTTAAGGTATTAGAAGCTGTTTTCATCCTAAACACAATCCTAATCTATGCATTCAGAAAGAAAATGTCACAAAACTGAGACTCTTCACCTAGCATTCACACACGTATTCATTCGCATACACCTACACCTCACAGTTCCTCACTCTATCACATTCACCTGCTTCCACGCCTTCATTTCACTCACCTTTTGTAGTAGCTCACACCGTCAGAACACTCTCACATCTTTTCTTCTAATTTCTTTCGTCTTCTCTCCCACTTTAGTTTTTTTTCACACCTCACCTTGTATACTTCCCACTGTCCGATAACCTATAAGTAGTTTGTTTCTCCGTATAGCCTCTATTGTGAGACGATTTTCCCTGATGATAGTCTCAAGAAAATCGATTAGGAACAACCATTTTAGATACATGTATTCTCATTCATCATTTTGTAATGTCTGCTTCACTTATACTATTAATCGCATTAATAAGGTTAGGAGACCGTTCACCATTAGCAAGAATTGTGCAATACTCTGTGGATTCATTAGCGCAGTACAGAGAAATTTTGCTAGTCCTGTGAAACATTCTGATTTAGAAGTATAAACAGTAAAACCTGCTCTCTCCTCTCGCCCAAGCCATTCAGCATCAACGAAGCTGTGAACTCAGCATACTGCTGTTACACTTCAACGTGGAAATGCTTATAATACCCCCCCCCCCCCCCCCCACCACCACCACCACCAACGTAACTATGTAAAATGCCTTTCCAGATCCTGCCATCGCTGCTACATCCGCAACCTCCGTGCCACGATATCTCCCACAAACCCTCGCCTCCCATCCCTCCCTGTGCTCATTCGTCAACTGCGAAATCCTACCAGCGCCCGGGTCATACCTTCGAAGATGGTGGGCCCCAATGGTCGAACAAGAACCTCTCCGGCATCCATTGGTAACTTATTGAACCGCCACTTCGTCAGTCCTGGCTTACAGGTTGACCCCGATGCTCCTATTCCCACTATTTCCTCCCTACCTCCACCAGCAACTACATTGCACTCCCTGATCATCACCTCATCGACTGTTCACAAGTATATTGCAAGACTGCCTCTGAACAAATCCCCCGGAGCTGATAGGATCACCAATGAGATCCTCAGGAAACTGAGCTACTCAATTGCCTGCCCACTCTCCATTCTTTTTAACCTTTCCCTCTCCTCCCGGCACATTCCCGTCACGATGGAAGTCAGCCACTGTCATTCCAGTGTACAAAAATAAAGGCGACAAGAACAACCCGTCTAATTACCGACCAATCTCCCTCCTGTCCTGTGTCTCCAAACTGCTAGAGAGAATAGTGTATGACCGCTTGTATGCCCATATCTCCCCTCTTCTTCACCCCGCTCAATCTGGCTTCCGTCGTAAGGACAACACATCCCTGCAATTGTCCCGCATAATCCAAGACCTCTGCTCCCTAAAAGACCAGCGGCAGGTCTCCTGCATCTGTTTCTTCGACCTCTCCAAGGCCTTCGACACCGTGTGGCACAAGGGCCTGATCGCCAAACTTCGTGCCCACGGTGTCTCCGGCTCCCTACTCGCCTGGATAACTAGCTACCTCTTGGACCGAAATCAGTGCGTCACAGTGAATGGAACCTTATCTGACCTCGAGTCTGTGACATCCGGAGTGCCCCAGGGCTCCATTTTAGGTCCCCTGCTCTTCCTCACATATGTTAATGACCTACCCTATGCCATTCCCAATATTTCTTTGTTTGCACATGATACCACTGTCCTTACTTCCTCCCCATCTCACGCCACCCTGTACCCCAAAGTTCAGACCCGTATCAACGACATTGTTCACTTGATGAGCACTTGGTACCTTAGGCCAAATGTGACCAAAACCGAGCTCCTCCTTTTTCCCCCTCCCACAGATCCAACGCCCATCTTCCACTTTCCCGATGATCCCGGTCACCCTATCTCTGTAGCGCCCCACCATACGCACCTTGGCATTGTCATAGATTCCGCCCTCTCCTGGTCTCACCATGATGATCATGTGTCGTCCAAAGTATGCCGATCTGTCGGCATAATGTCAAGTCACTTGTCCCATTTGCCCCAAAATTGCCGGATTAATTTTTATAAATCATACATTCTTCCCCTCTTCACGTACGGCTTCCCTGCCTGGTCCACCATTAACAAAACCAACATAGGTAAATTAGAAGTTCTCCATCGCCGTATACTGCGCATCATATTTCGTACTGATCGCTATATCTCAAATCTAGACTTGTATGCTGCTGCATCTACTACCACTCTGCAAAACTACCTTGATGCTTCCAAGTGCACCCTGGCACATTCAATTTTTCTTGACCAGCACCCTGCTCATTTACAGTCCCTTAATTGGTTCAATTGGTTCAAGTCAGGTGGCACCACCCGAAGCTGCGTTCGTCTCCCCTAGCTAGGTCTACCCTATTCGTAAATTCCCCTTTCTTTTCCTCCTACTCCACGTGGCTCCAACTGCCTCCCAGTGTTAGACAAGCTCCAGATATGCCCAAATTCCGTACCCTCGTCAGACAGCACTTCAGTATCTCCCAGTAAACAAAATCCCAGTCACCACTTCCGCTGCATAGCTCGCTGAGCATCCCATTGCTTTGTAAGTTGCTAATCCCTTCCCACTTTGTGTACGTGCTCTTCATTTTCTTTTTCTCTTCTTCCGTGGTTGGTCTCACCCTCTCCTCAATTCAATTGGCTGTCTTGACATGCCACGAGGTGCAGAAATAAATAAATAAATAATAATAATAATAATAATAATAATAACAATTTGAAACTCGGGTATTGAGCCAATAATAAAAGTAGAAAGGAAAAGGACATATGGAAACGAGTTAAGAGTAACTCTCCACCACTGTAACTAGATACTATATACAGTCAGAAAGTGCAACAACTAGGCAAAAAACTGACAGAGTACTGAGACATTCGACGTCCCGACACCTAGCTTCAACCACCCAAGTTGGGTGGTGTGCTGCTTTGCTGCTTCGAATTGTAGTTAGACCGCTTTGTCAAATCGCCTACTGGTCTCGTCATCGTCCAGTGACAATCGACATTCTTTGTTCCGTTGGGACTGTAGCTTGTGCTCGTTTTCGTTGCGCTTGCCTTCCCCTCTTTGGTCTTTCCATAACCTTGAACCTTCCAAGTTGGAAGGCTGTCGGTTAGCGCTACGGAGATGTGTTGAAGCTAGGTGTCGGGACGTCGAATGTCTCAGTACTCTGTCAGTTTTGTGCCTAGTTGTTGCACTTTCTGACTTTATATAGCATCTAGTTACAGTGGTGGAGAGTTACTCTTAACTCGTTTCCATATGTCCTTTTCCTTTCTAATTCACCCCTCAACTGATGAGGGGTGAATTCCCCGAAACACTGTGTATTGAGCAGGGAGTGGTGCTTTCTTGCAGGTTTGCCGAGTCGAAGGTTCGATGGACTTCTCGTGTGCTCTGGATGGCAGTCGTGAGTCAGTCAAGTGTCAAGTAAAGTCGGCGGAATAGCGCGAGCTCCGGTGTGGGGAGCAAACCCTTTTCTTACAAATCATCGCCGAAGTCGCAACCACTACTTCGTACTGTTGTGCCCAGCGCGGGCTTGCGACTAGTTGGTTTGGAGGTGACAGCGTTGCGAATGACCGAGGGTCCTCGACGTCTGTCTCACCGTCCAGGAGCGACACTGACTCACGCTGCTATCTGGTGCTCACGAGGTGTTTGTCGCGCTGAAAACGGAGCGTCTCTGTAAGTTTGTATCCCTGGTGATGGTCGTGCCTGGAGAGCACTATATAAGTGGTGCTCTTCAGGCACAATCTTCCTCAGCCTACTCAAGCTCAACTGATGAGGGGTGAATTCCCCGAAACACTGTGTATTGAGCAGGGAGTGGTGCTTTCTTGCAGGTTTGCCGAGTCGAAGGTTCGATGGACTTCTCGTGTGCTCTGGATGGCAGTCGTGAGTCAGTCAAGTGTCAAGTAAAGTCGGCGGAATAGCGCGAGCTCCGGTGTGGGGAGCAAACCCTTTTCTTAATAATAATCAATTCAGTCAATTCAGTCAATTCAGTCAATTTTTTCTTCAGACTTTTCCCGTTTGTCTCTTTCCCTCAAACCAGATAATAATAATAATAATAATAATAATTAAGAAATGGTTTGCTCCCCACACCGGAGCTCGCGCTATTCCGCCGACTTTACTTGACACTTGACTGACTCGCGACTGCCATCCAGAGCACACGAGAAGTCCATCGAACCTTCGACTCGGCAAACCTGCAAGAAAGCACCACTCCCTGCTCAATACACAGTGTTTCGGGGAA